CTCCAAGAAAAGGTCAATTTTACCATATGCAATTAAAAAGAAAAAAGAAAAAAAAAGAGGTAGAAACAGCCAGCCAAGTTCTCAGAATATGGTAGGGGCTAAGTAAGTGGTAGTTTCCTTTTCTTATAAAAAGTCGGGCCCTAGAGACCCAACTCTTCGGCTGCTTGGCTGCTGTTGGCCCATCATCCAGCCTGTTGTGTCTACTAGATTTCTTGGTTTCTCTATCTACATCTCTCCCAGGTGTCCGTTTGGAGCTACATACCATTCCTAACCAGCATGTTCTGAACGTTGTAGGTCCATGGAGACTGTGGAACAATCGAGTCAACCATCTCCTCTCTCCTACCAGCTGATCTCAAGGATGGTGCTGGCCACAGAGAGGCTGTCCCTCATCTGCAGTTTATGCGCCAATCCCCACTCTCTTGGGAAAGAAATTCTCTCTCTGCTGTGCAAGGGAAGCAACAAACAATCGAGGATCCAGTAGACAGGGAGCGACCAGAAGTGATTACCGCAGAGAAGAGCCGCTAGTGGGTAAACTCTCCTAATTCTTGTTAGGCAGAGTGGAGCATCACATTCATGGGAAAGGAGGCAGAAAGTGGAGACTTCTACAATATCGGAGACTCTGATTTTTCTGTGATTTTTTTCCCTCCTTTATCTACATGGAGGAAAGAGTCATGCACAGAGAAAGTACTCTGGATTAAGTCAGTTTTGTTTTAAAACTAAACAGGGAAGACCCTGTTAGAATAGCCACACATAGCAGGTGTGACTGCATGGTGGAAACAGACACATGGCTAGAAATACTTAATGAAGAAAATCCACAGATATGAGTCCTGCCAGATTCTCTATATGAAGCTCAGAGAGCCAAAGACTAAAGTGAAGTGAAAAAGCAACTCTGGGCATCTGAGAAGCTATAACATGGCAGTGTCAAATGCAATGGGCTGGCTCACATCCTGAGGGCTACCAAGCACTCTCCAACATTTCCTTTTGGATGCCTCCCTAACTGGATGCCCCTGGAGGATGGGCCTCACTTGTTAGGAGCACAGCCCTGTACTCCTAACAAGAGGAGTACAGAAAGCCCAAGTTGATGTAAGGATCAAGATTGCACATGCCGAAGGGGCTCCATAGAGCCCTCATAGAGCCTTGAGCTGACTGCTGGTCTGAGAAGGTGATAATTGTCCATGCGGCCTGAACAGGCTGGAGCGCAGGTTCCCATACACGGGGCAGAACCTGGTCACTTTATCTGAGGTGACAATGACTTAGGATCATTGAATCCTTGAAATGGAACCCAGCTTCAGAACTCCCTCTGTTACATTCTTAAAACAAGTGCACAGGGCATCTGCTTAAGCATGACATGTAAGGACTCTCTTCCCAAAGAACAGTGCTCACCGACAGCCCTTAACAGCTGAGACCAGCTGTGTGGTGGTCCTGTCCCCTTGTCCTTCACAGATGTGTCCAGAGGTGCATCTGACTCTTACCATTTAAACAACTAGGAATGGAGAACCTTCCCTCGTGACCTGGTAGTAGTGAAGGGACAAACTGTCTCCAGAAGGGCTCGATCACAATAAAGTAAATGCATCACAATTAAGTAAATGCATCACCATAAAGTAAATGCAGGCAAAGCTCCCCCTTTCAGGGTCTGGTTTCTGAGTGTTGGCCCTGAAAGCTTGTGACCTGGGTGATGCAGGAGACCACCATCTCCCCTTCCTGGGGGCCTGCAGCCGTGGCACGCACTCGGGACACCGGGTCGCCTCCTTCCTTCAAACCCACACTAGGATCCAGCCTCTTCTGTACTGACTAGACAAAGGCACTGACCGGCAGAGAACTCACCAAGTGACCTTTTTTTTTTCTTTTAAGATTTTATTTATTCATGACACACACACACAGAGGCAGAGACACAGGCAGAGGGAAAAGCAGGCTCCATGCAGGGAGCCCAACGTGGGACTCGATCCCGGGTCCCCAGGATCAGGCCCTGGGCTGAAGGTGGCACTAAACCGCTGAGCCACCCGGATTGCCCACCAAGTGACCTTGATGGAAAAACACAAGCCTTCTGTAACCAGGGCCTCCTTCCTCCCGAGCCATTGTGGTTTTAAGGAAACAGAGATGAAAAACTCCTATGGTCTCCTAAAGGCACAAAGGTCCATATGGGACAATCAGAAGTCGCCACAATGGGCTCGCAGCAGAACCACCCAAGCAAAGAGAACAGAGAATGGCCTGTGAGCCGTGCAGGGCAGCACCCTGGTCTTTGGAGGCAATGTGGCCAGGGGGGCGGGGGTCACACTCTCCTTGTTCAGCCACAGCCTGACTCAAATCTCTGCCAGTCATCAGCCTGCCTCTGTCTCTGAGGGCCTGTGCTGGGGATAATCACATACCAAGGCTCAGGAGAATCAAGGGACCATGGCTCTGGTTCCTCTACTGGGACTGCGAATGAGCCAGGACTTCCGAGCCGCCACCGCCCCCATGGCCTGCTTTGTTTCTTTTCCTTCCTGGAGTGATCTGCCCCATTTCCCAACTGCTGTTCCTTTATTGTGCAAACATTTTAAAGATTTTTATACCACCCATTTTAGAAGCTAAATACAATCACATTTTTCTAAAATCTTTCTCCCCTTAAAAGTTCGTATTTGAATCAAAGGACGGCATTTTCAGATATTTTCTCAAAAACAGTTGCTGCTCCTCCTTCTCCGGTGCATGCATGGGTTGTCCTGCCACACCTGAGTGCGCTGCTACGCTCCTGGTGTTACATGCTCTCCAGAAGGTCAGAGCCGCTGCTTCCTGATGCTGCTTTGGTTAATGCAATGCTGTGAGAAACTCAAGCTGCTTTGGGGTGTTCTCTTTGCATAATGTTAACTGTTACTACTATTTAATGCTTTCTAATAGTTAAAGAAGGATTACCACCAACACTCGTAATGCTCACTACACACTGGGCACTGAGCTAATGTTCTGTATGGATAACCTGATTTAACACTCCCATAACATGTGGGCTAGGTCTATTAGAATCCCCATTTATGGCTGAAAAACCTTCAAGGCTTAGAAAAGTTAAACAGCTGTCTAAAGCCAGAGAGCCAAAATCAAAGGGTCTAGATAAACCCAAGCAGAGCCAGACGTCACAGCCTTGCTGTAATGTAAGCAGGTAACTGTGCTAATTTGGGGTTATGAATAAGGAGCTTCCAAACTGTGGATTAACCCTCTCTTACTCATGTCTAGGGGAGAAGATGCAACCCAGGAGTCTTCCTGGTTGGGAATGATGCAGACAACGTCTGATTTAGATATCTATTCTACAGCATTTAATGAGGTTTCTTAATTCTTTGTTTTAAGATTTTATTTATTATTTGAGACAGATTGAGAGCACTAGCAGGAGGAGGGGTAGTGGAAGAGGGAGAAGCAGGCTCCCCTACAGCAGGGAGCCTGACACAGGGCTCAATCCCAGGACCCTGAGATCATGACCTGAACTGAAGGCTGATGCTTAACCAACTGAGTCACCCAGGCACCTGATTCCTATTTCAGTAGAGATTGGCCAACAAGAAGAGTTCAGCATTGATCACTCGCAAATGCTAGGTTTTTGTAGAAGTTATTCAATGCCTAAAGGAAAAAAAAAACCTGAATGATCGAAAAATAACACTAATAAAGGAAATGCTTGCAAAGGAACAGGAACAAAACAGTTATGCCCTACATGATTCCAGACCTTGTTTAACTCAGATAAAATCCCATGATGTTCAAGTTGGATGAGACTTGAGATTTCCAGAAGACAGTGGAAGGTTGGCAGACAGATAAGAAAGAGGCAGGGCAGGGAAGCTCAGGAGGAAAGGCACGGACTCATGGATGGAGTTTTAAGGTGAACAACTAAGACCCAGGGCAGTGAAGTGACAGGGTGACGTCAAGGCAGCAGAGTCACACAGTGGTTCATACCCAGCAGCATCCAGAGCCCACTCTTTCTGCTCATCAAATGGGTACAAGAGAACCAGAGAGAAGGGTCACTCCTGTCCCTGGGTTGGTTTGCCATCCCTCTGCTCAGTGTCACATCCAGGATGTCACCACCCCAGGCCAAAGAACATGGCTGCTGCTTCTCTTTTCTCCTCTGATGGAGGCAGTGCCGATGTGGACAAGTAACAGGTGTAATTTTGTAGACTTCAGGTCATTCATTTGACAAATATGTATTAAGCCCCTACCACGTAGTGGAAACTGTGATAAGTCCTGGGGGTACAAAGAACAACAGATACCATGCCTTCCTTTCCCCAACATGATCAAGGGAGGGACAGAGATAAAGAAAGGATCCCAGAGAGATCCCAAGTGCTATTAATTCCAGGATACAGATGTCAGTGGGAGCCCAGAAGTAGGGGCACTCCATTCTGCCTGGGAGACTTTAAAGACTGCATTTTTCAGGGGGCATCTGGGTGGCTCAGTCGGTGAAGCATCTGCCTTCGGCTCCAGTCATGATCCCAGAGTCCTGGGATCCAGCCCTGCATCGGGCTCCTTGCTCAGCAGGGACTCTCCTTCTCCCTCTCCCTCTGCCTGCTGCTCCCCCTGCTTGTGCTCTTTCTCTATCAAATAAATAAATAAAATCTTTTTAAAAAGCTGCATTCTTCAGGTTGAATCTAGCAGAAGCCTCCTGGTCAGACTAGGGAAGATGCTCCCAACAGACAGAACACCATGAAGCGGCAGGCAGTAGCTACCCCCTACACACACCTAAGGCAGATGCATTCAGATGTCACTGGAAGACTCGGGAAGGATAACAAAGATCCCCAAGTGTGGTAGAACTTCAGTTTGTATTTGCAAATACAGCTGACTCTAGAACCTCAATGGGAGGGTGACCCCCCACGCAGCTGAAAATCTACATATAATTTCTGACTCCCAAAGTACTTAACTTCGGATAACCTACTGCTAACCAGAAGCCTTCCTGATGATGTAAAGTCTATTAACATGTGTCTTATACACTACATACTCTATTCTCACAATAAACCAAGTGAAAGAAAACACTATTTAGAAAATCATAAAAGAAATGCACTTACGACACTGTATTATTTGCTTATGAGCGGCCCGGGCAGTTCAAACTCGTTGAACCTGTAGTTCCAGAGTCAACTGTATTCCCCAGAACCTGAAAAGTGAAACATACACAATCAATTGTTTTTCTACCCCCAATAATATGGGAGCTGAATTCTCTTATTTTTGGGGGGAGGCGGTGCTAAACAAAAATTGAGATGCCCATAATTCTGTGCCCCAACCCCACTTTGGAGTGTAAATAAATATTTTTTAAAAGCCTGCTTGGCAGGGGATCCCTGGGTGGCGCAGTGGTTTGGCGCCTGCCTTTGGCCCAGGGCACAATCCTGGAGACCCGGGATCGAGTCCCACATCGGGCTCCCGGTGCATGGAGCCTGCTTCTCCCTCTGCCTGTGTCTCTGCCTCTCTCTCTCTGTGTGACTATCATAAATAAATAAAAAATTTTAAAAAAAAGCCTGTTTGGCAGATGTTTCCTTGCATGTAACTGAAAAGAAATCAGTTTCAGCTGCTGCTCTGCTCAGAAGGTAACTAAATAGCTTTCAGGGGGGCCCTTCAAGTGTATTGATCTGTGGTTTTGAGGACACAGACTCTTCCAGATGTCTTCCCTGCATAATTTTAACTCCCAGTTTAAAAGCGAAGCTAATTTTCTTTCCTCTCAAATGCTTTAGCTGAAGGCAGTTTTATTCGGTCTATCCTTTTAGGAAAAGAACCGATTAGTAGGGGCAGGGTTAACCTGAGAGAGAAAAGGGAATGAAAAGATGGGTCTGCACAGAACCTGTCCAGTTTCCAGAGACTAATAGCCTTCCTGACATTATCAGAAGTGACTCAGAAATGCAACAAGTGCTGGAGCCACGCTGATCCACAGCAAGGTTGATCTACAGCAGGACTGATCTACCGGAGCACTATCAGCTTTGGGGCTGAGTCATTCTTTGCAGTGAGGACTGTCCTGTGTGTGCACCACAAGATAATGGGCAGCATCTCTGGGATGCCAGAAGCACCCCCAAGTCATGACAATCAAAAATGTCTCTAGATGCTTTCCCCAGCAGCAAACAATGCCAGAGATTCTCCATCCTGTTAACTGCTTCCTAGTCATTAGCACTTCTCTCTTTGGTTATCATTGTATCCCCAAAACCAATCCAATAAAAAGTGATCAGGAGAGAATGCAGACAATGTATACGTCTCTATATGAAACGGTTAACATTTTTGGTTACAGGAAACCTTGTGTGTGGAATTCCCCTGATTAAAGCAGGCTCCAAATAGCACTGGCTACTTAGTTGTCTCTGGAATGGTAAGAAGATGTAGTGTGTCTCCTTCCTTCTGTCATAGGTTAGCTCATCATTCAACAAATATTGTGCATTTACAGCGTGCCAGGCAATGTTGCAGATGAATAAGACAAACAAAAGCCTAGCCCTCAGGGTGCTTATGTTCTAAGCTGGAGAACAAAGAGATAAAAAAGGAATCATTACAGTTCATCATTAAGTGCTGTGTATAAAATAAAGCACAAATAGATTAGAGCTGTACTGTCCATGTAGTAGCCACTTGCCACACGTGGCTATTAAGCCCATGAAATGTGGCTCATTTAAATTGAGCTGTGCTGACCACACCAGATTCCAGACTTACTACAAAACGAGAATGTAAAATGTCTCAATAATTTCTCTATTGATTAGATGTGGAAATGATATTTTGGATATACTAGATGAAATAAAATCCATTATAAAAATTAATTTTGCCTGTTCTCTTTACTTGTTTAGTGTGGCTGCTAGAAACTTAATATAATGCATGTGGCTCACCCCATATTTCTATTGGGCAGTGCTGGGCCAGAAAAACCAGATGGAGGTGGGGAGCTCCTTCAGCTTGAGAGGCCAGGGAGGGTCACTCTACCATCTGGAGGACCAGCATCCCAGCCTGAGGAAATGGCAAATTCACAACTCTGCAGTGGGAATGAACCTAGTCCATTAAAGCAACAGTGAGGCAGTGCAGCTCCTGTCAGGGAGACACAGGGAGGGAGGGAAGGAGCTGAGGATGGCAGGGCTTCCGGCCAGACACAAAGCAGGGGCTTGGCTTGGAGGCCAAGCTGAGGGGTTAGGATTTCATCCCAGGAGCAATGGGAAGGCACTGGAGAGTTTGCATCAAGGGGACACCATGATCTGATTAATGTTTTACAAAGATGCTACATGCTGGTGATTGCGTGGAGAGAGGACTCACATTCAAGCAAGAATAGAAGCAGGACCACCAGGCAGGAGGCATCAACCTCGTGGGAACTCTCATGCTTTTGGCCACTCTGGATCAGCTGGCAGGGTTACTTAGAAGAGGACAGGAAGGGCGCCCAGGTGGCTCAGTGGGTTGAGCAGCTGATTCTTGGTTTCTCATCAGGCTGTGATTTCAAGGGCTGTGGAGTCAAGCCCTACATCCGGCTCTGTGCTCAGCAGGGAATCTGCTCCCCCCCTCTTTCCCTCTGCCCCTCCCCCAATTTGAGAGAGAGAGAGAGAGAGAGAGAGAGAGAGAGAGAGAGAGAGAGAGAGAGAGGATACAAGGAGGAGGGAGGGAGAGGGAAAGAGAGAAAATCTTCAGCAGATTCCCCTGCTGAGCATAGAGCCCGACATGGAGCTCCATCTCCTGACCCTGAGATCACGACCTGAGTTGAAACCAAGAATCAGCTACTTAACACACTGAGCCATCCAGGCGCCCCTGATGTATTTTTTTTTATTATCCAAATCGAGCATTGGGAGTCTCAAGAGCCATCCAGCTGCTTAATGAAGTTTAGCTAACCTGCTCCTCACAGTAGGGAGAGTGTTAAACTAGCTTCCCTCTGTTAACCAGTTTCCACTCTCCTTGGACCACCACTCTAAGTGTTTAAAACTGGGGTTTTGGGGGTGCCTGGATGGCTCAGTGGTTGAGCATCTGCCTTTGGCTCAGGTTGTGATCCCAGGGGTCTGGGATCGAGTCCCGCATAGTGCTCCCCACAGGGAGCCTTCTTCTCCCTCTGCCTATGTCTCTGTCTCTGTGTCTCTCATGAATAAATAAAATCTTTAAAAAAAAAAACTGTTTTTTTTTTCTTTTTTGGTTTGCCATTGTTTTTGGTCTCAATGCATTTACTTCATTCTTGCTGTTTTACTATTAACTCAAAATTTGGTTTTCTTCTCTCATGAGGCTTTCATCCCTTTTAATTGGGCCCTATTTTTGTATTTCAGCCTCCTGGGTCCACCCCCAAATCCCCTAACTCAAGAGTGTCAGCAAACAGCAGCCCTCTGAGCTCATTTGCTCTGGTATTTTCCACTTGCCGTTTGCTCCACTGTTGCTAGATTCTCATTTTCCCCCTAGCTCATTGGTCACTTTTGCCATGGGTGAGTCATTTGCTCTGAGTCATGCCTGGCTTCGATGCAAAGGCCAGGAAAAAGCCTCAGAACACACACCTGGTTTATCAAAGGACGTCACTGAGGAATATGGTGTTTTCCTAAGTGGATTCAGTAATTAGGGAAAAAAATCAAGAACCTTTTCTCTCCTTTCTTTTCCTCCCTCCCACCAAATTTGCCATTTCCTTCAGCATTTGCTGGAGATTCTTCCTACGGTGGAATGAATCTTGGTCATTTGTCTTGGGCTGAGAGAGGCAAGAGGACATTTCTGGAATGAGCCCAGAAAATCCCTGAGGATGAAAGCAGGGGTTATGTAATGTTCTTGCTCTGTTGTACAGCACCAACCATCACACACAGGCCACGTGTGAAACGTTCTTCCTTTCGAGAGCTGTGAAGATGTTGTCTTACACAGGGACCACCACACCATCCATAAAACAAGGAAAGATGAAAACCACCTCAGACCAAAGGGGGACCTGGACTGGACCCTGGGAAAGACAAGCTGTCTGGATCTGCACACCAACGTAGCCCTTACGACTATACAAGGGTGGGCAGATTCCTTGTCTGTGAACTGGGTACTACCCGGGAGTGTTCTTACGAGGGTTAACATGACAACCCCAGAGAGCACTTAGCACACTGCTGGGTAGGGGAGAGTAAACCCAACCGGCATGACCTCATGACCTGTCGCAGCAACACCTCAAGACCCTTCCCCTGCCTGTCAGGGCTATCCCTCAAGTTATAGGGACCAGACTCTGAGAACCCCAGGAATACGAGCACTTTTTCCACCCTCCAGCCTCAGAACCCCTCATTTTACATCACAGACTCATTTCTCCTAAGCACCTCCCCTCCAAATATAAAAGTCTTGGCAGAGGTACTGTCATCACCAACCATCACACACAGGCCACGCCTGTGGGCGTGGGAACACATGGGAACAAATGGGCCCATCAGGTCCCCACAGAAGGAGTTCTGACATGCAGCAGGAAGGTAGAACAGAAAGCAGGGATGTGAGCACAGCCCTCAGAGTGCATGTGGGGAAGTGGCACTCCAGGACATTGAAGGGGACATCGGATCTGGAGGGCAACAGAGGAAACTGGTGGCAATGGGTGACCCTGGGAGGCAGAGGCAGGAACCACTCTTCACCGGGCATTTTATCATCAGAATTCTGTACCATCTGCATGTATTACCTTATCCAAAAATTAATTACATTAAGTAAGGGAGGGATTATCTCCCTTCATAAGGTGCGAGACAGAGCCAGAAATGAAAAGGTCTCAAAGGCGAAGGTGCAAATCATTTCAGGTATTTTACTGGCAGCCTGCCCTGCTCTCACATACTCCCATAGCCCCAGCCCCCAAAACAAAAAGTTTCCCAATGAATTCCTGGATGGCTCATTCTTGGGACATCAGCTATGCACTTTCGGAGTCATAACCCAAGACACCGAAACCCAGAACTCTTAAAACCTTATGGAAAAAGCCCCTTATGGAAAAGCCCCTTGTGGAAAAGCCCCTCTGCATTTCCCCTTGTTGAGTGGGAAAGCTCAAGAAGGGGAAATGCAACTTCTCCTACTGTTATAGCACCCGTCAGAGGGGGCCATGTGAGGTCCACTTCTGGGAGTGTTAGGCGCAGCTGCACCATTTATTTCACTGTGGGATGCCAAAGAGGGATGCTTCCACCACGAGAACAGGGTAAAGCAAATTGCCAAGGAAGGAAATAATCCCTCTAGGGCTCCTGCAGAGCCATCAGACAAATCCCACATCCTACCCTGGGTTTGTGCCACTAGCAGGCGGTGGGTGGGTTGGTGGGGGCATAGGCATTGCACTCAGATGCGGACACTCATCTTGTCCTCTTGACCTTGGGCAAGCTACTCAATTGCTTGGACCCTTGGCCCCCTCACCCTTGACACATGCGCATCACCCCTTACCTTGCAAGTTACAAGGAGCACATTGCTTTCTGTAAAAATACCTACATCCATTTCATTATCCCTAAAGAGAACCCAGCACCTCCTGCCAGGCTTTTCCTTTAACATGTTATTGGATCTTGTTGAAGTCCTCAGCCCCAGAACCTATGAACATGACCTTATTCAGAAAAAGGGTCTTTGTAGATGTCATTAGTTATTTTAAGATAAACTCATAATGGAATACAACCAATTTGATGGTGTCCTTATATGAAGAGAAGAAACAGAGAGACACACATATAGGGAAAGGAAGGCCATATGAACATAGAGGTAGAGACTGAAGTGACGTAGGCTACAAGCCAAGGAACACAAGGATTGCTGGGACCCACCACAGGCTGGGTGAGACGTGTGAACCAGTTCTCCCTCTGAACCCCCAAGCAGGAACCAACCCTGCCAGCTCCTTGACTTTGGACTCCTGGTCTCTAAAGCTGTGGGAGAATAAACAGATGTTGTCTTAAGCCAATCAGTTTGTGAAACTTTGTTATGACAGTCCCAGGAAATTAGTACGGTAAGTTATCTGGTTTTCCTATCTATCTAGTGTTTGAATTGTCTTCCCCAATGGCTGGCTAGTCAGCCAATGTCTGACTGTCTCCAGTATAAGAAAACTAACTTGGTTTGTCTACCAAGGCAGTAATCCCTCTCATCTTTGGAAAGGTCCGACTGTCGTTAAAATCATTCATTCAACAAATACTTATTGAGCACCTACTACATGCCAGGCACTATTTGGAGCACTGTTGATACGGTGGTAAGTGGGCAGCAGACAATAAAAGCTTTCTCAAAGATCATTTCTTATCGTTATGAAGAAAATAAAATACTGTAATATAAAGTATTTTATAGGGGTAGGTTGGGGGCCAGGAAGAAACTATTTTAATTGCTAAGGAAGTTCTAAAGATAGGACATTAGAGCAGTCACTTGAATGACAGGGAGCCAGCCATGGGAAAATCTGGCAGAAGGAATAGTCAGTCCAAAGGCCCTGAGGCAGAGTGAACTGGATGTGCTCAAGGCACAAGAAGAAGGTGGGATTTTTGTGAGAGTGGTAATTGGTGAAGCTGGAGAAACAAGCAAAGTCAGCTAGCACTCACACAGCACCCCAAGTAGACCACAGTAACTTTGAATTCAATTCCGATAGGACTAGAAAGCCACTGAGGTGAGGTATGATTCAACCCACAGTTTTAAAAAGATTACTCTGGCATGATTAAGTTCTTAAAACTAAAATCTTTCTTGGGCACCTGGGTTCAATCCATTGGTTAAGTGTCTGCCTTTGGCTTGAGTCATGATCCCAGGTTCCTGGGATCTAGGCCTGTGTCAGGCTCCCTGCTCAGCAAAGCGTCTGCTTTTACCTCTCCCTCTGCCCCTTCCTCTGCTTCTGTGCTTGCTCTCTCTCTCTCTCAAATGAATAAGTAAAATCTTTAAAAACAAAAAACTAAACTAAAGCTGTAAAGTTTTAGTTATGCATTGAATTGCATCTCCTAAAAAGATGCACTTCCTAAATGTAACTTGTGTCCTTTGGTTCTTGGGCCACTATAAAACAAGTTTAATAAATGAGAGCCCTGAATCTTTTGTGACCATGGCTCCCCAGATGCTCAGGCTTACCAGCTGTAGTTCACTTACCACTGCAGCAATTTCCAATGAGTATTCTTGATTTTTTTCTATGTCCTTTTTAAATGTGATGTCCAGAAAACAACACAATACTCCAAGCATGGAATTGTAGATTGGAACTGTCATCTTTCTCATTCGGATCTATATATCTACTCTTGTGTCCTAAAATTGTCTTGGCTTTTAAATCTGGTTTGTACCACTGCCCACTGAAACATATCTCAGATAACCTCCCCATGAAGTCCTTGTGCAGATCTAGATGCCCCAATCTAAAAAAAAAAGTAGGATTAAAGCGTGTTCTTCTCTAATGAGAACAGCTGTGCCCTGTTTTTTTTTTTAAAAAAAAAAAGGTGTAACCATAATTCAGACAATGCCACGTATAAAATACTGCATCCAATAAACAAAATTACTGGGTCAGCTCCTCAGGTTTCACAACCACTGCACTTCTCTTCCGTGTGGAGGACAAGGAAAACTCTAAGGGCATGTTTCCCTAGAATTGCTTTGTTCTCTTGCATCAAAGCTGAAGACACCTAGACTATTTGGAAATGCCAAGCAATTGAGTAAGAGGCTCTTTGCAATCATACTTCCTACTAGATTTCTCAAAGACAGATAAACAAATCTGAGTAGATGCAGACTCTTTCAAGCTTGGGTGGGGGAAGTGGTGAAGGGGCAGCTGCACCAGGGAGCTGAGCAGAGTTAACCAGGAGGCAAGAGGTGGGAGAGAGGGATGCTCTGCCAGCAGATGCTGGGGAAGCCCTGGTGTCCTCATCCTTAGATGTGCTGTCATCTCTCCTCTCTTTCCCACATCCCATTCCACAGGCTGATGACAGGCTATTGCATCTGGTTAACCCAGATGGCTATACTGACTATCTCCTTTCACCCCCTAGGACCTAAGTGACTCTGGGCACTCACTCAGCCTCAGTTCTCTTATCTGTGATGTGGGAGTGATAACACCACCTCCAAGTTTAAACTCCAAGTTTGTTGTGAAGCTCAATTGAGATTTTTGTAAAGTATCTGTCAGGTCAAAGGGAGGGGTTGTTACTGGCAACCAGATTTTACTCCTCCCTTTGCATATTTTTCCTACTACTGGTTGAATTTTCATGACTTTTTTTTTTAATCTTCCCAGGTTGCTTTTGATGTTTCTTTTAATCTGATTATTTTCTTTTTGAGGGAGTAAGTAGAGAGAGAGAGAGATAGGTAGGTATGTTGCATGACTCATTCCATCCTAAACCTTTCTTGGGGATGGTCCTAAAGGATGTCCTCTCGGGGTCACCATAAAGCAATTAAACTTGGAAGAGCCAAACTTAATTGTTGTAAAGAGAGAATCACTATCCTCCACTCTCTGGAATTCTGTAGGAAGTCATTTAAGGTTTGTGATTTATTCATGTCACCCAGGAGTACTTCTTCACTGTCTTTGGTCGTTACATTCTCAATTAATACAAGCCACCTTCATATTAACTGACACATATAAAAGACATACAAAAGACACACACTGCAGGACAACATGGGAATGTGTCCCAGAACCACACAAGAGGCTGCAGATAATCTGTAATTGCTAAGAGTGCCTATATGTGAATCCTCAGTCACCTTCATTTCTTTTCTGGAAAAAGGAAAATCTCATGAGTCAACTTTTTCATTGTGAGGTGATCACAAAAGCCTTTTGCCCTGTGCTTCAAATGCGTAAGCAGTCTTATTTCTGAACAAAATGGACATAAAAACAAGAGACAGGTGGAAGGGAGAGACTGAACAATAAGAAAACCTGAACTTTCAAAGAGAAAACCTGTAAAAGACTCAGGGGAGTGCCCATGCGTAACCAATCAAAATCATTCTTTTATTTTCTTTGCTTAATTCCCTGTTGTAGATCTTGGCTGCCCCTGTGTAGCTTTCGGGAGGGGTCCCTCCAGTGAGACGAATCTGAAAACATTAGCATTAGGTGACAGTGGTCTGGGTGGCAGCCTGGCTAAAGCAGCCTGGTCCCGGACAGCTGACTGCCAGCCTCTACCACTGACTCACCATACCGACAGCCTCCACACCAGGTGGCCTCGCCGGTGCCAGCTCAGAGGCAAGTTCCTGCTCATCTGCAGGTTGGCACCCTTGCCCTACACTTCGCCACAGAGTCGGAGGAGCTGGCCATGGCTAGTGCCCACTGCAAAGTCCTTCTCTGAAATCCAATCAAGGTGCAACCCAAGAAAGCACAAACCCCGAACTGGCGGGAAAATGCACCCAGCTCCAGGAAGACCACATCCAGTCCCTTCCAGCTCCCGGGCCGCTGGGTCAGAGCCCCCTGAACCAGCTGTTGTACGCTGAGCTGCTCCCGCTGCGCCCGCGCTGCTGCGCCCTCCGCAAACGTCCACGGGGCCGGGGAGCCCTGGGAAGGCACAGGGCGAGTTGACCGGGCGGCACCCCATCCAGAGCCCGCTCTCCCTCACCCCATACCCCACCCGTCGGCCTCCCGGGAGCAGGGAGGCAGCGAACTTAGGACTGAACACCCAGCACGAGTTGGCAGATGTCTTCCCCATCCTGGCTGCAGCCGCCCCCTCCCCAGCATGTCCTTGCAGGAATCGGGGGGTTCTTCTTCCCCCAAGACTGAGGAGCCGACTCCACCCCAAAGCCACCGGCCGACACCAGCTGCACGGGGGGGGGGGGGACCCCGTGCCCATCCCCAGCAGGTGCCGCACGGCCCGCACTCGGCGGGCTCCCGGCCCCCATCCCCCTCCGACCCCAGCTCGCGCCGCCCCCGCAGAAGCCCCCGAGGCCCCGACCCCCGCCCCCGCCATCCCACGGCCCCTCGCCCGCTGGCCCTCGGGTAGCCCCGCGCCGCCCGGACCACTGACGCGCTTCCCCCCCACGGGCGCCGGCGGGAGCCTCTCTCACCGCGGCGGGGCGCCGGCCGGCGGGTCGGGCCGGGGAACCAGCGGCCGCCTCCGGGCTGCGCGCTGCGGCCACTGCGCGGGCCTGAGAGCCGGGTCCTTCCGAGGCGCCAGCGCTCGAGCTGTCAGTCAGCTGGCCGGTCCCGCCCCCCGCCCGGCGCCGTCTGCGCAGGCGCGAGAGTGGCCCCGCCCCGCCCCACGCGGGCGGCCCGGGCGCGGGTCACGTGACGGGGCGGGGCGCTGCCGGCGGCTGGAGCCCGAGGGTCGCGGCGCGCCTCCCCTGGTCCTGCCGCCGCGGCTCGCGCGCTCGGGCTCCTCCGTGGGCCGCGGTTCCGGAACGTCCTGGAGCCCGGTTTCCTGGGGCTGCTCGAAACCAGGGCTCCCCCGGGGAACCGCTGCGTGGGACGGGCCGCTCTGCGAGCTCGGGACTGGGGGATTTGGTGACCTGGGTCGGGAGGCCTGGGGAGCCCCGGCCTGGAGCCGGGGAGGGAGGCCTGGTTCCCCTTGCTGCCGGGCCCTGCGTATCTTCCCATTCCAGGGAGACGGTAACTAGCACACTTTTAAAATAAGTCAGGCAAGGATGCATGGTATACAAGGGCAATCTGAGGCCTGATTGATTTTTTTAAAGGGGTGCATCTTACTAACAGCTGACAGCTGCACCAAAAGTTCTAGGCCAGTCTGCATCTGGTCAGCAAATGGAGTAAATGACTTTCAGGCCAATGGGTTCCTGCTTCCTCCACGTCTCTAAAATTTAAAAAGAGAAGAAAAGAGGTTAAAAAAAAAAAAAAGGAACGTCTCCTATGGAAGCTTTTTCAAGAGGAAAGGGGTTATAGAAACAAACTGACACTCCCAGTAATTTGGAGGTTTTGTCAAACTGGGTTCCAGCACCAGCCAAATAGAGGTTATGATCCCAGAGAGTGGGCTCACATTCTGCAAACAGGTTTCCACAGCTGCATTACAGAGCTCTTGTGCTCCTTCTGGTGGTTGCTTGTATGAAATAATAACGCCCCGGCTAAATAAATGCAGTGCTCTCTGAAATAGGGCAGTTTTAGAAAATTGCAGGTTCTCGTCGTAGGGGTTACACAGGAGGATCTGGAGTTCTGCCACTTAGGAAAAAAGGTGACGTGAACTGATGACCAAGAATCTTTCCTGGGCCCTGAATGCACCTGCTGGCCCCCGAGAAGATGACCTCCCGGAATTAAGACTTGCTTGGCAAAGTTTAGGAAACAAAAAGGAAAAAGCTGGAGTTATGGGGCCCTCAGTGCTAGAGCTGCTTCTGATCCAGATTTGCTTGACCAGCTCGGTGTGGCCAGCATGTATGAGAAGCTGGATGTGGGAGTATTTCAAGTTTGATATGAACTCAGGAAGGGAAGGAGTGTGAGGTAGCCTTCATTCCCGTAAGTGGACACAACAGATAGGTGGGCATGCTGTTAGTGCCTCCAGCAGAATACGAGCCCATCTGGTGGGCTTTATGGGAAGAGGATTATATCTGTGGATGGGGGAACTCCTCACCTAGTTTAGTGAGTGAACACAGCATGAGGCCAAGACTCAAGCAGCTCTGACCTGACTCTGGTGATAACAACTATTCAGGAAAACTGGAAAATGTGAGCTCATTCAGGGTCAGATTCCATTTGGGGAAAGTATCATTTCTCAAGAGATTAAAGTGAACCCTCTCTCCATCTCATAAAAGATCATCTGACTTTGCTGGAAGGTTGGAGAGAGGGAGCCATGTGGCCATTAAAAAAAGGGTGGAGGAGAGAGTTCTCCAAGCCACGGGCCAGTGAACTGGACATTGGGCGTGGGAAATACTCAGATTACTCACAAAAAAAATATTTGTGACCCCTCAGAAGAGGAAGCACCGATGACAAAGACCAAGTCATGAGTGCTAGGTTAACCATATTTCTGTTGTGAAATGTGAAGACTGCTAAGTCAGGAAATATGCTAGAAATAGTGTATTTGGACCTGGAAGGTGTATTTACCAGGATTCTTTCAATTGTAAGTCATAGAATTTAAACTTTTTTCCAGAAAAAGGGAATATGTTGACTCACATAACACACCTAAATTCTGGGGTTGGCTCAGCAGGATCCAGAGGTGCCAGTGATGTCATCAGAGCTCAGTCTCTCTCCCCTACTTGCTTCCCTGTGAGCTGGCTTCATTCTAGGATCAGGTGCTTTTTTTACAAGGTGGTCTTCAGGAACAACAGGCAAATAGTTCTTTCAACTTAGCAACCCCAGGGGGAAAGGACTCTGCCCTTCAGTATTTCCAGAAGAAGTCCTAGGATTTGATCTAAATGGACCAACATTGGTCACATGCTCACCCCTTGAATCAATCTCTGAAGCCAGGTTGTGGGGATAAGTGGATTGGCCATACCTGGAGAGGAGTGAGGATCAGCCCCACCTGGCTCCTTGGGTGAAGAGCATGGGGAGTGTGGGTCCCCACGGGGGGGGGGGTTCTGGAAACTCACAGGAAACTGAGGAAGACAGACTCTGAGCAGGTGGGGGAATGCAACCAGATATCCAGGACAAAGCATTTGCTGAGCTATCTTGTGATATTGTATAAAGGACATGAAGAAAGGGTGGGAGAAATAGTAAATTTATTGGATGGCTGAGTCAATACTCAAAAATACTTTGACTAGAGGATGGCTCTGAAAAAGTAATAGGAGCACAACCAGGCGATGTGACTTAGCATCACTTCTGCTTCTAGTGGCCCACCATGCCTATTTCCTCCCCCTTTGGAACATATTGCCACAAATGTTGTGGCTTATAACAACACAGATTTATTATCTTACAGTACTGGAGGTCAAGTTCTAAAATCAAGGTATTGGCAGGGCTGCCTTCCTTCTGAAGGGCCTGGGGGAGGATGGCCTTGCTGATCCTGCTTCTGGGGACCTCCAGCATCCCTTGGCTGGGGGCGCCTTCCTCCATCTTCAAAGGCTGGAATAGTTCCCGGCTTTTCTGTGTCCTTCCAGGCACTGATGCGTATTTAGAGCACAAGCTGGTTGTTTTGTCTGTCAGGGTGGGTTTTCTACCTGCCCCCGATAGTCACGGAGCACAGTGTGGGCAGCAGTGCTGAGCAGTGCTGAGCAGCACGGATGTGTCCTCCTCAGGGCATCGGACCAGGAGGCACCGTATCAGTTGTCTCATTATTGCTGATGCTGTTGACCACTGGTTGAGATGGTAACATATTTCTGTACTGTAAAGGGTTTTTCCCCCTCTTTGTCAATAATTAGTAACCTGTGGGAAAGATACTTTTAGACAAAATGCTGAGTGCTCTAACCCGATGGCTCTGTCAACATTAGTTGACATTTCCTTGCATCTATCCTTGTCCTTCCCCAGCTCTGCTCTCCACAAAGCAGCTAAAGTCACCTTTAGAAACCACAAAGGTGACTGAATCCTCCAGCGGCTTCCTACTGCCCCTGACACAGCCAGAATCCTTCTGGTTGTTCGGGCGGAGCGTGGCCTGGCCCTTCCAAGCTCTCCAGACTGGTCTCCTCACTCTCCCTCACCCTCTGCACATTGGCCCCTTATAGTACTTCCAGCAATCCGTGCTGCTTTCTACAAGTCCTCCCCATCTACCCTTTTGCCTGGAACCCTCTACCTCTATCCCCTGCATCCCCTTGCTTATCAAATACCCACGTGTCCTTCACCTATCACACCCAAAACGAAGCCATGTGACCTCCAGGCCAGGCCAGGCCAGGCCAGATTCCCAGGTATACCCTTTCACCACACAATATCCTTTTCCTTTATAGGAACGCCTGTTTGTAATTGTGCACTTATTAACTTGTTCACTTAGTTTGTGTGCTCTGTAACAGGCAGGGACATTGTCTGGTTTTGCTTACTCATGTGTCTGCAGCACCTAGCAAGGTGCTAAATACAGAGTAGATCATTAAATGCTTGTCAAATAAACCAGTGAGTTTAAGACAAGGGTGGGGACAAGAAGATGAGCACAAATGGGCAGGCGCTTGCTTCCAGGAGACTTGGTGATGGGGCCTTTGGCAGCTGGAACAAGCAAGCCATCAGGGCTTGGTATAGAGCTGCACTGGTACACAGCCTGGCCTCTGGCTCCTTGAAGAAGGAGTTTGTAATGGTCTGAAGAACAGGATCTTCACAGGCAGACGGAAGGGAAGCAGCACAGGCTAGCTGTGCTTTCTGCTTCTATTGGGCAATCACTTCATTCTGAGCCTCAGTTTCATTAGCTGTGCAAAGGGATCACACCAGCTTCCTAGGGCTGTGAGGATGAAGGGAGTATATGTGTATGACAGCAGCAAAGACAGATCTGTCCTGAATCCTGGCTCTCCCCTCCTAGCTGTATGACCTTGAGCACACTGCTTAACCTGAGCCTGTTTCTTCATCTATTAAAGGAGCCACCCATAGTGTGTTCACTCACTCATTACATGCATATTAATTGGTTGATCGAACTGGGGCCGTGCTAGTGGACAAAAGCAACAAAACTATTTGCCTTTCATGAGGCTTGCGCTATAGCCAGGGATAAACACTGGAGTAAGTGACTAAGTAAAAGATACATGATAAATAAAACTGAGGTGTGACAAGGAGCAAAGCAGGGAGGGGGGGAAGTGAACTACCGTGGGAATGGGACGGAGGAGGAAATTTTAGATAGCACTCCAGGGAGGAAGACACCACGGTACAGTTCCTGAACTGAAGGGCATGAGAGTTATTGAGGTGACACAGAAGGCCAAGCCCAGAGCATGGGACTCGGTAGGTTCTCCATACACGTCCACTAGCCACACACCTTCCCCACCAAGCATGGGCATGATGCCCCTGCAGGCTCTACCCACAACTGGAGGTGAGGTGTCCCTGTAAAAAGGAATTCAGGACACATCATAGTACATTGGGTTCTTTAGGCTCTCTGGGCCTGGTCCAATGCCATGGTTTGTGGACTGTCAGCCTTCTGGCGTCCCGATTTTGGCCGTTGCATTCAACACCACAAAGGCCATGGTAAAAAATAAGGAACAACCCAAACCCCCTTCCAGAAGAAACCTCTGATTTTCCATTGTACAACTTCTAGAAGCATCCTTCTCTTTCTCTCCCGCTGTTTACTTGAAATGGAGTGCACAAATCCCAAGTGTACATAGCTGGATGAACTGACACCA